CCTCCCACGCGCCCTCACGCGCCAAAACAGGCACGGACCCACGCGCCCCCACGCGCGGCCACGTGCCAGGCACACTGACGGCGTCAAGTGACGCCGTCAGGAATATTCCGTTGAACTGACGGAATATTCCGTTAACCCTAAACTGACGCCGTCAACGTCTGTTAGGAATATTCCGTTAAACTCAACGGAATATTCCCCTTTCTTCTCCGGCCAGTCCCCCTCGCCGGCGCCGTCGCCGGAAAACCTGCAACTCGCCATAACTCGCTCGTTTTTCCACCTTTTTTCACGTTTCTTGCACCAAAATCAACCTTAGAGCTAGTAGAATACGATCCTACAAGTTTTAAGGCCTAAAACTACAAGATTATACCTGTCCAAAACTCCAAAACTCGGCCAACTTCGAACCAAGCTTTCCCGACGTCCCAATTTGTCCAACGAAGCACTCCCAAGCTCCTGGGAACCTCACAAACACAACTATAAGCTTCAAATGTCCAAAAACTCACTAAATTAATCTTGCATGAACAGTAGCTAAAACGGACATGGCGATTTCGACGTGAAAACGTCGAAGTTCTTACCTGAAAATGGCACCACTGGACTCCTCTCAGCCTCACAAGCACGATGGTGGTCTTGGATCCCTCGATCTGTGATGTTTTAGGGTAGTTGTGTGTTTGTCCGTACACTTTCAAAAGGAAGAGGAAGGATAGAGACTCGGGAGAGAGAGAGAGGGACAGGGAAAGAGACTGAGAAAGGGATAGGGACAAGGTGTGTGTGTGTGTGGTCCAACTCTGGCCAACACCACACAAAACAACCAAAACATAACAAAAACAAACTAGGGGTAAAATGGTAATTTCACACGTACGTTTCAATAATTCCGGGACGGGATGTCACATATTTAGTCTTTTTTTTTTTTTTTTTAAATCACATGTAGGTGAGGCTGAAACAAAAGATAGCAAAATTTTGTTTTGTTAAATAGTCTTTCACCCTTTTTTGGTTGACAAAGAGGGTTTAGATTTAGTATTATAACTAATATTAAAGAGAAGTAATAAAATTGAAAAGCTAAAAATCTGGAAGAAAGTTAAAAATAAAATTAAAACGTGCAAACAAGGAAGGAGGTAGAGATCCATTGGATTTATTATTATTTTTATTTATTATAGTTAAATAAAGATGCTAATGGATGGAGGGGTAGACCTTTTCCAAGGTTTGAAAGGTTTCCATATACATTTGGCCAGGATCGTGCAACTTGAACAAGCTGTTTAGCTCATTCGAAGATGGTTATGGATGATGATGATAATGAAGAGGTGGAGGCATCTGAGACTCACATTGGGTTAGAAGGGAGTCATCAAACTAAAGTAGTAACTCAAACTTAATTTGATTCATCGATCGCAACTGCAAGCAGGAAAAGGGAAAGGCCGAACAAAATTTTTGATGATCTGAAACAAATTGCTAGTGCACTTGAGAATATGATGGAGAAGAGCTAGTGCTAAAGCTAGTTGATGGTTTGAAGGAGCGTAGCAAAGGATGATAACCATAAGTTTGTGGGAGAAGAGCTAAAAAAGATGTGGTATTTATTGTGGATTGGATTACCTAATTTATCTTGTTTACATATCCGGTTAAAGTGCGCGTGTTCAAGACACTAGATGAAGGTGAGGATAGGTTCGAGTATGTGAGGATAGGTTCGAGTATGTGAGGACGCTCGTTGAAGATCGATCATAGAGAGCATGATTTATATGTAGTTTGATTTTTTGCATTTGCTTGTTATCTTTTTCTAGTTGGATTTTTAAGAATTATAGTTTTGTTGAGGTTGCATTTTAATTTTGACTTTATTACATTTTCTAGTTAAATTTTGAGAATTTTCACTTTGATTAGGTTGTCATTTTAATTTGGACTTTGTTTGGGTACTTTCTTGGATGACTTTACATATGTATCTTAATATGACTTTCTTATTATTAAATTTATGGTTGTTTTATTTGTTTGGATTGATTATATGTGGTGTTGAATAGTAATTAAAAAATAAATGAATCTTGTTGGGACCGTTTAGCGAGTTGGATAGGGTTGGGCCTTAGGGATAGAATTGGATTAGTAGAGACTTGTAAGACAAGACTTGTAACTCACATATAAGAATATGTTAGATAACCCACTCTATAATGAATTCATAATTCATCATGTCCATCTCACACTATGACATAATAAACAATGGACTAGACTTAAGTATATTTTAATTGGTCACAATCTATCCTAACCAGCCCACAAAATAGGCCATTTAGGCCATCTCCAACTAAAGGGTCTAGAGGGCCGAAAATAGCCTGAAAACTGTCTCCAACTGAGGGCTTGGCCAAATGGCTCATGAGCCCCACTGGACAAAAAAGGGCCAAAGGGCCAACCGGCTGGCCTAACCCAGCCAGCTAGCCCCAAGCCCCAAGCCCCAAGCCCCAAGCCCCAAGCCAAATGGCTAGTGGATTCATAACTTATCATGTCCAATCTTGTCATCTCATACTTTGACACAATAAACAATGGGCTAGACTTAAGTATATTTTAGGGTAAATTACATAAAACTACCTCAACTATTGAGTCATTAACAGTTTCATACCTCATCTTTAAAAAGTTGCAATGTCATACCTTATCTTCGAATTTGTTGCAATATCATATCTTCTGTCAATTATTCTATTAAATGCTAACGTGGCCTTGAGGCGGGGTCCACTTTTTATTAAAAAATAAATTAAATATTAAAAAAATTAAAATACAATTATTTAAATATTTTTATAAAAAGAAGGTGGGACCCACACACCTTCTTCCTTCCCACTCGTCTCCCCCCTACCCTTCCTCCCTTCACTCCAGAACCCCCCACGCCCTTTCCCTATTTCTCTCTCTATCTTCCCCAAAACCAAACCTAAACCCCACCCCCCTTCTTCCCTGCTCCTGTCCTTCACCACCCCATCGCCGCTGCCCATCGTCTTCCCCGAACCCAAAACCAGCAAGACACCATGCCATCGTTCGACTCCCTCCTTCCCACCCTCCTCATATCGTTCAACAAAATAATCAAAAAATCGACGGACGACGGCAACAATTAGTGAAAATCTGGGTGTGATAATAAAAAACGGACGATGTGAAAAAGGAAGACAAAGGGAGAGAGCTCTGGACGTAGATTTACAAGTTGACGCCGAGACCGAGAAAGAAAGGCGGAGATCGGGAAGATAACACTTGCCCTTGATTGTTTTAGGGAGCGCATGAAATTATGGTTGATGAACGAGAAGGAGATATGAAGAAGGTGGGGGAGGGGGGGAGACCGAGAGAGAAAGGGGAAGAAAGCGCGCGGGGGGGGGGGGGGGTTTGGTTCTGGAGTGAAGGAAGGAAGTGTATGGGGGGAAGATGGGTGGGAGGGAAAAAGGTGGGTGGGTCCCACCTTTTTATAAAAATATTTAAATAATTGTATTTTAATTTTTTTAATCCACAGCAGCATTTAACAGAATAATTGACAGACAACTGAAAATAAATTCAAAGATAAGGTATGACATTGAAACTTTTTAAAGATGAGGTATAAAACTGTTAATGACCCAATAGTTGAGGTAGTTTTATACAATTTACCCTATATTTTAATTGGTCACAATCTATCCTAACCAACCCAACAAACAGGCCTTTTAGGCCATCTCCAACTGAAGGGTTTAGACGGCCAGAGGGCCGAAAATAGCTCAAAAACTGTCTCCAATTGAGGGCTAGGGCTCTTGGGCCCCACTGGACAAAAAAAAGGCCAACTGGCTAGCCCAACCCAGTCAGCCAGCCCCAGGCGGGGCCAAAAAATTGAATGCAACGGCTAACTGACATCAACTAGCTGTTATATTTGATTTTTTTTTTTGGGGCCAAATTTAAAAAAAAATTAATTAATTATAGGCCTAAAGGTGATTTGTTCAAAGCTGGGCATTGCGATGTGGATTTTATAAGCATGTTTGGTTACTCAAATTTCTCCCACCCACTTCCCTTTTTTTTATGAGGCCCCAAGTACTTTTCATACTTCTTTGAGTAAGTAAAAGGGTCCGAAATATGAACGCCTCTCATTCTCCCCATTTTCATTTTCGTTATGAAAATATGCCTTTAAAAGCAAGGTTATAAAGACGCCAATCTAGACGAAGAGCGGGTTGGGACCTAGCGTCTGAACGGTTAGGCGAAGTTTAGGTGTATTTAAGTAAATTTGTTGTATATCGTATAAATAAGTAGATGCTTACACTTAAAAATACGTAATTGCATTGAAATACATAAATTATAAAAGAGAATAACATAAAAATTATAAAATATTAGAACATAATAAAAATATAGTGAACAAACATATATTTGTGTTCATAGTATTTAATAAGTCTCTTACAATTTATTGAAAAAATAAAATGCAAAATGAAATTATCTACTTTATGCCTAAGTGAGAGTCGCTATTTAGCCTGGTCTGAACGGGCTAGACGGGCATATAGATTGTCTAGGCAAACCTTCTTAATTTTCAAATGTTTAGAATTTAATCAGAACGGTAACTAGCCACTTAACACTTAAGTGTGGCCTAGGCGAAATTTTTTAGAAGAACGTTTAAAAACGATCAAAGCATTCTACGAGAGGTTCAAAATTGGGTGCAAACTATTTAAATAGAAATGTCCTATTAAAAGGAAAAGGATCCTCTCTCTGGATCCCTTCCACCAAGTCCATCAAGTCCACCCATCCGAACCCTTGAAATTTGATATAACGACTAAAGTTATTATAACTTTTAAAGAGACCCCCTGTTTGTAGATGTTTAATCGAATTTCAAGGGTCTGGATGGGTGGACTTGATGGATTTGGTGAAAGGGATCCGGAAACGATCCTGTACCTATTAAAAAAATCACAACTATATATATTTTGCGTAATAAAATTAAAATGGACACTAGCCGCACGATCTTCGTGAACGGCTAGGATTAAGAGTTTCGGACAGATTCCAGAGTGAAGGATCCGGAGAAGATCCTAATCCTACGTTACATAGCCTTTTTCTCTGGAAGACTGGAACCCCTCCCGACGAGTTTCGCTTCCGCTGCGCAAATCCATCAACCAAACAAATACCAATAAAACAACAAATACCAAATCCTGAAGAAGAAGAAGAAATTACAAACCCTAATTTGTACGGCGAGGAGAATACAGAGTGATCGATTTGGTATTAATTAGCTATGGTATGCTCCATTTCCCCTTTCTCTTCTTTCTAATTTCATGGTTTTTGGGTTAATTTTCTGTTTGGTTGCCGATAAAAACTGGGCAATAGGGAAGAAAAGTGGGGAAATTTAAGCTTATGTTTGTTCGCATCGACGTCTTGTATGTTTGTATTTAATCCTTGAAGTAGCTCATGGGTGGCAGCATTGGAAAGCCGAATTTTTTTTTTTTTTGGGTAAAATGGAAAACTCAAGTTTTGCTCATTCTTAAACTGTGAAATCTTAAATTAAAGAATTTATGGCGGAAGCAAATGATTTTATCATTTTAGAATTTTTTTTTTTCTTGGGGTGGGTTTTTTTTTGGTTGTGAGAATTTTCAAATTTTGGAAATGATTGCATATGATTTGCAAAAATGTTGACAACCTGTTGTGTGTATTTGCGTTCAATTTGAGATAAAAAATTGTATTTGTTTTGTTATCCACTTGTAAGATATTGCTGTACTTTCGAATATTTATCCGACAAATTAGACATTAGAAGAAATGATTGAATGTTCTTACTGTGTGCATGCCTTCAAAGGTTATAAGATTTAAAGTTCTATGATTTTCAGTTTCATTTCCCATATTTTGTTTACTGGACGATTTGATGCACGTAATTGATCTCTATTTTCTACTTTATGTACACAAGTGAATTCAGTACCTATATGTCTGTTAGAGACCTGTTAGCAGAATTCATGTATATGGTGTTTAAGGACGAAGTTTAATGTATGCAAATGTGTAGGTTCTTTTCTTCCTTGAAAGATGTCAAGCTTCAAATATAAGGAAAATATAATTCTTCTTATTTCCAGGCCATGTTGAAGTGCTACTGGCTTTACTTCTTTTGCAATGGTTCTAATTATAATCATTTGATTTCTAAGTGAAATCCCTTCAGAAATTTTCCAGTAATTTGGAAAGACCTTGGCAAATGCTGACAGCGAACTATTTGTCTGATTGCACTTGAGTATTTTGAATATCATTATTCATTCTTAAGATTTTTAGCGAGGTTACCAGTCTAAGATGTATTGGTTAAAGGGTCAGTTACAAAAGAATATTATAATGTAGTAAAAGGTTGTTGGGCTGTGGTCTTCCCAGAAAATAGCGCTTGAATAATGGATCGCTTAAAATAAATGAGTTTTGATGATCTTCCCAGAACTATCTATTAATAACAAGTCATGAGTTAAAACTTGCAATACGGAAATCCATTATTGAATCAAGATTATGACTTTTTTTAAATATTTGGTTGTGGTTTGTCTTGTATTTTGTTTGAAGTTCATTAGCTACCCAAATTATGCATTTTTTTAATTGTTGAGAAGTGTTTTGGTTTTTTTTTGAGGGGAAAAGTGGACCCAAAACCTTGTGGATGAGCTGCATGATGTCTATTAGTAGTGTAAATGGAGTGAAAAAAATGGATTCTTGAAGACACTAGGGGGTGGAAGTGAAAGGGCTATACTTTGTGGGCTTCACTGACCTCAGAGTAAAGGGCTATACTTGCTTCACTGATCTCAGAGTTTTGAGTATACTTTTTTTTCCTCATTCATGCAGATTGGAAGACCCCGATATTTTAAACTCATTTTATGTTAGCTTAGCTTTTTGAATTTTAGTAAGGTTTTTTGTGGTTTTTGGTTCACGCATCTTGATGCGTCCCAGTGGAAAGCTTGTTCACAATGTCATGTAGTATGCACGGTTGATTTTCAGAAGTTCTAAAAATCTGTGTTCTCATTATTGAAAAAAAAAAAAAAGTTTATTTTATGTGGATGCCATCTAAGCCCATTTTGGTTATTTTACTTTATAAGCTTCCAAGCAAAAATAGTTTCATAGATGAGCATAGGTGAGGTGAAAATGTCACCGGTTCCTTTCATATGCATTTTATTTTTTTTTCATAAGCATTTTGAAGATTGTTTAGTGACGTGATAGGAATAGATGAAACAAAAAGTTCAGTTATACATCGGAAGATAGAGTTAAGCATAACAGATTGATTTCATTTTATTGTGTTCTTCAAGTTTGGTGTGTGCATGATTGAATGTACACATCTGTGTGTGTGTGTGTGCGTGTGTGAGGTAGGAAACGTGATTTAGAAATAACATTAATGTAGGAAGCATAGCCTTTGGAAATGACTTTAATTTCTCTTGACTTCTTGTGTCATTAGATCTTCTTGCTTATCCCATTTGCCTCATACATTTGTGCAGGCTGCAAAGATTCTTGCTAACTTAATTGTGATGGGAACTGGTATAGTGGCAAGGGCTCTAGTTCAAGCATATCGTCAGGCACTTACAAGTAAGTCTTCTTTCGTCTTGAGATCCCTGCAGTTCTAGGCATAGTTTTTTTTCCTAGCAATAATATGTGGCTGCTTTGGTAGTTGATCCTTTTATAATTCTTTAATGCTGCTTTGGTAGGTTAGTGTTGAGGAGGAGTCTGGCTCATGTAATCATTTTTGTTTAAAGTTCTGGCTCATCTAACAATATGGTTCCAAAATAGTTCTTTATCTTGATTTTACAAATTTAGTATATGTCAGGTTGTCTAGTGTCCCTATAGCCCAAGTAGATGAAAAGCTTTCTGATTTTTCTGGAATTTGATTATGTTGTCTCACTTAGACCTAGTACCATTATTAACTTCCAAACCAATGCTCTAACCCTACCTGGCATTCACATCTGCTCCCAGTTATGTGCCTGTGCTTGCTAGTGCTGTCCTCAGCATCTGTAATTTTTTTACGTACTTACCTCAGTTGTTTATAATCACTGCTTTGCATAGAAAGTAGATATAACCAGTTCTTAAATCATTATTTCATTGAATCACTGAAGAAGAGATGTTCAGTTTCTAAGACTTCAATTTAATTGCGATCTTCCCAAGAAAAAGGTTAACAAAATCTGTACCTCATAAAACAATAATCTCTACTAATACAACACTTGTCAATTTTTTGTTCTGGTTGAGCATGAGATAATGATAGAGGAGGAAGGTGAAATGGGGCACGCAATGAAAAAATATATGGGATTAACCTATATTAGTGGAAGATATACACCTTATCCAAGTGGAGGTTTTGTGTAATTGATTATAAACTGTGTTTAGGATATACTTTTTAAGTTCAATATCCGTTGGCTGTAAAGTTTCCCGCGAGGTAGGGGAGAAATGGAGGGCAAGCTTTTGTAATGGTTTGGTGGAACTTCAAATAAAATCCTCTTTCAAGATTGACCTCCATCCCTAAGGAGAAACAAGGTTCAGCTCAAATAAGTACTTGGCCAACGAAATTGTACTTGGTATTGTTGTACATGTATAACAGATGATAGTGATTAGTAATTGTGGGTTTAGGCAACTTTTGCAATGATGTATTTGGGTGCTATTTGTCCTATGGTATTTTTTTAGTCAGTTTTCTGCGCCTTCCTTCTGTCTGTTTGATGTCATGACCTGGGTTAGAGTGGTGTTATGCATATAATTAAATAGAAAATAGTTTCTGGAGATATCTGTCTCACAGCTTAGATCTGATTGGTTGCTATTCTTACCCCCGTAAAGATTTTACCAACTTTAGATGTCTAGGCAGGCTCTTGTTTAACCATGTGCGGTATTTTGCAGATGCCTCAAAGACTGGTGTCGCCCAAGAAACATTACAGAACGCAGGTCCGTAGAAGTAGCAAGGTCATGACAGAGCAGGAAGCAAGGCAGATTCTTAATGTCTCAGAGACGACCACTTGGGAGGAAGTTCTGAAGGTAAATATTTCAAACATTTTCATCTTTGGTTACCCTCTCTGGCCCTATATATTCGTTGTGAATGGAGTTTCTAAAACATGTTTCTTAAACCCGAGCAGAGATACGACACTCTATTTGAAAACAACGCGAAGAACGGGACCTTCTACCTTCAGTCAAAAGTTCACAGGGCCAAGGAATGTTTAGAGGCTGCATATCGAGACAAAGGCCAGGGTACGGGTACCCCTAGTTGAGAGGAGTATGGTTTATTTTAACTGTATAATTAGTGTTCTTGCGGTCTGTCCGATGGCTTGAAACCGAAAAATTGAAATTGTATTACGAGTCTACGACACATAAACACGAGCGTTTCTTCGAAATGCCACAGTTTGTTGAAGTTGTTGTGTTCACATCACATCTTGATTATAATGTTTGATCAAATAATCAAATAATTAGTGGTTGTGATTTGCAAAGTGGTCTTCAACGGAGGGCTGAAGCCTGAAGGAAGAAGCCATCAAAGCTTTTCGTTTCATCGTGCGGTGGCCAAGCTGTCGTTGAGGGTTCCTGTTTGTTGGATAATAAAGCAATTTTTTGGCTACTTTGATTGAGAAAAAGATGGAAAAAGCACATGTGAAATTGATTAGTTGTGGAATATGAATATGAAGAGCACCATCAAATTAAGTATTTTTTTATTTAGGTATGACCTTTGATTCTCATAAAATAATATATTAATACAAATTTCGTTCCAACTTGGGGCGGTTTATATGGAAGAGATCCTCAGGATATCTTCCATCAAAGCTCAAGGATCAAGTGGTCTGGATCCTTGAAATTTAATCCAACGGCTAAAAATAGAGGTCCATTTTAAAAGTTATAATAATTTTAGAGGTTGGATCAAATTTTAAGGATCCGGATCACTTGATCTGAAGGCTTTGATGAAAAAGATCCGGACGTTTATATAGGGATAAAACTTTCTACCTTGGTATGTTATAATTTTTCTGGTCCCGTCTTAAGTAAACTTGCCTTCGCATAACAATAATTGTTAACAAGTTTGAAAAATTGTGATTCCGGAAATTAGAGTTCAAGTGAAGTGAAATATTTATGTACAGTTGTTTGGGAGTTGTTATTTTTTAAAGTTGATGCGGGTACATAATACCTCGTTAATATGAACACTTTTTTGTTGAGGTCAAAATGTTTCAAAGATTTTCAAGCATGTTCACTGCTTGGCCTAAAACTTTTGGTATGCTTTTAGAGATTAGATGTCACTCTTCTTTCGATGTTATATTTTGGAAATTGACATACTCCACTACTAATACAGTTCTTTGTCCATATGACTTTCATTAAAGATAAAATAAAACAATAATATTTTTTAGCTACAACTTTATTAAGTAATAACTTTCTTATAGTATTAAAATTGCTTAAGGCCCAACACTGACTATATAGAGATTTTACTGTATTTGTTCAATCTAAAATATAGAAAAAGGGCGCGGGTGTGCATAAGGTGAAAAAATGTGCAAAAATTGGATAGTAAGACGATTGAAAGGGGTGTAGCTTCAATGCTACGTAACACTCTTATTGTTGCGGGTGTTTTAGCTTTGGAAATTGATAGGGAGACTATACTTGTGTTCATCTCATGTGATAAGTGATGTGTATATAGTCATAACTTTGATTAGATGTTTATTGTATGCATCACGTGTCACATGAGATAGTACACAAATATGGTATAAATATGTGGTCTCTCTAATATTACTTTTCAGTCATAGATATTTTATTTTTAATTCCAACCATTCATTTCTCATACCACTCAACACTATTGTACCATTGAAGAAAAATTCGTATAATAAAAAGAAGCAAAATTTTGAGGTTCGAGAATTTTCTTTCAGTCTAAAAGGAAATTACAAACTTCTTCCTTAAAATTCTTTAAAAAAAATTATTTCAAAATCAGTGTTTATATTGGAAATACTTTCAAGATTTGACTACAATACTTATATAAATTAAATACAATCACTATCTCAACAGTTAAATAGTATAAGCATTGTAGTCAGTCTCGTAATTTTGACGCGCTCACAATAAAAGAGAAAATATGAACTCTCTATAGGATAGTTGGGAATGTTTCTAGAAACTCTGCTTCCTATTCCATTTTGGCAAATATGGAAACCGCGTTAACCGTGTGGCTTTTGCTCGACTGGAGGTTGCTGTTACAGCTCTCGCTGATTTTATTTTTTTAATTTTTTAGATATTTGTTTCGTCGGTGTTCCTAAAAATAAAAGGAGGCTTGACTGCTTTTTTTGGTTTTTCCTTTTGGCCGCCTTTCAGGTTAACATGGAAATTGGTAAAGTTACTAAAGTATATTATAAAAAGGCTTTTATGATTTCGTTTAAAAAAGTATTTTTAAAATAGTTGAAAATGTTTTTTGTGAAATTATTTTTTGAACAAATTCTTAGTAAAATGTAAGTAAATTATGGAATAACACTTAAGTGTTTCTAGGAAGAAGCACGTAATGCTTCTTACAAAAAGCACTTTAAACCCAAAAATATTTTTTCTGAAAGCTGTTTTTAGACATTTTAAAAGAACTTTCATATGAGCCTTGTGTTTATATTATGGGAGTTGCTTCGGCATCTCAAATAAATTAAACAATAAACAAAAGTAAAGTGTCATTTATTGTGTTTCTTTTAGTAAACATTTTGAATTTAAAAACATTTTCTCTTAAAATATTTTTAGACGAGCTTTATGTTCATGTTATGCCAGTTGCTTTAGCATCTTAAATGAATTAAACACTAAAGAAAAATAAAGTGTCTTTTTCTTCATCATGGAACTCCCATGCCATCATTGCTTTGTTAAGAAACTCCAAAAATTGTTATTTGCTACAAAGGGGATGATGAGCATTGAGGCATGGAGATAAGAGAATCTCTATGTATACAAGCAAAACCAAGTAGTTAAAATTGTATTATGCATGTTTATGTGGCATGTTAACTATTCATTTGTCTTATAAAAAAAGTCGGAGATTCTCTAAGAGATGGCGTTGCTTTCCTCTTTTATGCATAGTTAATGTTGAATTCCATTAACGTGGCATTGCGTCATATTTTAAAATTCTTACTCATGAAAATATGAATAATAATTATTTATGTTTATGAATCTAAATAAGCGATTATTGCACGCTAATTTATAAAATTTGATATTTGTCTAAATTTCAAATTTATTTATCTCATGAATGATAAGATTAAATTTTCGACCTACTATAACAATTTAACTCCTATGAAATGAGAATCAAACTTGATATGACAACAAAATTGGTTGAATTGTCCACCTACACCTACACCTACCACCCAAAACACCTCTCACTGTGTTTTTGGTAAGAAAGGGACCCATCTTTCAATGTTATTACGTTATTGCAAACTCCAAATGAAAGAAAAATGAAGGAAAAAGTATAAACTCTTAAAAAAATCATAAAGAAGAAGAAAACTATAACACACCAATAAAAAAGTCTTTAATCACAATTAAAATTTAAGAAATAAAGTTAGATAGAGAGAAAATAAAAATAATTAACTGTAAGTGGTTGATTGTTGCGGTGGACAAAATATTTTTTTTTTTATAACCGTAAGTGGTTGATTGTTGCGGTGGATTAAACTCTTTTTACATACTGTATTTCGGAATCCAAATTATTTCTCATCTTTAGTGAAATTTAAAATAAAAATATAGAATTGTTATTGACACGTTAAAATTTTATTTTGCACTATTTACAAGTATTAGATTTAGTTTCAAAATTATCACTTCAGTGAAATTAGGTCATTGAATTAATTTTTCGGAAAAATCAGTCCCCAAACTAATAAAATTTGTCAATTACATCTATAGTATCAGATTCAAAGCTATTCTATTCAATTTTTTGTCAATTTAAGTCAAGTGACTTGCATGTAATATAATTTAGAGAGTAAATTGCTAGTTTTTCATATTTTAAGGACTTATTTCCTTCGAAGAAATAGTTTATAGAGATTACTATGAATGATAAATTAAACGTTAAATTCGCAACGTATATGCAACATTAAGAGCTTATAGGCAAGAAAATGGTGGCAATATCATCTAAAAAGTGTTAGGTGAATTAAGTTGATGAAAAATTGAATAAAATAATTTTGAGTATAATTTTAGGGATAAAATTAGCAATTTATAATGAATTTAGAGACTTATTTTACCGAAGAAATAATTCAGGAACTTAATTTTCACTCAGATGATAATTCAAGAACTAAATTGAAAATTCATCACTTTCCTAAATATAAAAAATTTTAAGTGTAACATGAAATTTTTGAAGTTTCAACCAAAATTCCCTAAAAATTTCGACTCCTCTTCTTTATTATGGATTTATTTATTTATTGTAGTTTAAAATAGAAATATTGAGTAGTAATTAAAAAAATAAAAATAAAACAAATAAAAAATAAATATAAAAACCAAAAAACCAAAAGCCAAAGCCAAAGACCTCTTCTCCCTCTTGGCTATACTCTTATTTTGTTCAAAGAGGAAGACAATCACCAGAAACAGCTCAGGGAATTAAGGAGCTCTTCTCTCTCTCTCTCTCTCTCTCCTCCTCCTCCTCCTCCTCCTCCTTCACCTCCCTCTGTCTGTACCAGATCCATTTCTCATTCTTTTTCACAATTTTTTGGGGGACCCAATAATCGCTTGAATTGGAACAGGTAGGTTTCATGTCATTTTAGATCTGGGTTTTCTTAAATTTCTTCAGTTTTCAGATCTAATTCATTTCCTTTCTGCGTGTTTGCTTTAATTCAGCTGCGCTAATTTGGACATTTGATTTCAAATTCTATTTTTTACCCAATTTATAATTTTTTATGGGTCAAATTAGCATCTGGGTTTTTCAATACTCGATTCAATATATTCATTCGTTGTTTATATATGTATGTTCATTTGCAACACATAACATGTGATTCACATTTGCCAACAAGTTTTGAATTTCCTTGAGATTTGGGTTTCAATTTTGATTGATCTGAGGCATTTTTGTATCATTTTTCATGATTTAATTTAATTTTAAATATTCTGTTTTTGGGAAGCAAGGATTTTGATTTGATCGTGTCTTCTTTAAACGGTATTGATGCTTCTTGCAGGTCAAGGTTCCCTAAGAGGCGATATTCGTTTGATTGGATCGTGGGTTTTGCTGCTGTTGTCGATTGCTATTGATTCGGAAATCGTGTTACTATGAAGAAAGTCTTTGATCAAACTGTTAGGGACTTGTAAGTCTTGAATTGTGTTAATCACTTTAAATTGTTTACTATGTTTTTATCGATTTTGTAGTGCTTAGATAATTATCTTCCTATTACTTGTTACTTTAAGAGTATTTTGAAGGGAAAAAATGTAATCTTTTTTGGTACTTCATTACAAATTCTGTATTTTTTTGTGACCCGGTTGATAAAGAAAGTTCTTTTTTTTTTCGTACGGATTGTATCCAAAACCGCTAAACTGATGTGGTTTATTG